ATGCATGGATACCCAGCTAGTGCCGTGAACCCAGTGCCCATGTGCAAAATACAGGCTTCTCTATTGTTTTTGATCATCCTTTTAGGTAACTTTTCCATGTTGTTTTTTCCTCCTGAAAACTTCTCTGAGAGGTGAGCCACATGGAATTCCTCAATGAGCTCCCATGAGCCCCCATGTCCTTTGCCCTCCAGCTGTGCTTGGTCTATAGGAAAGTAGGCAGGAGGTAGGCAGAGTGAAGTTGGCATGTTGATTCTCACGTCTAACCCTGGTGCCCCACAGAAGGCTGAGGACATTCTCCTGCCAAAACCACAGAGTCTGTTAGCAGTCCTTTCCATCCATCTGCTGCTTCCAGGTGCCACTGCAGCTCACCCCTGTCGTCTGGTGTCCCTTATCAGTCTGAAGCACAGCCCCTGCTTGACACCACGGAGGGAGCTTATCTCTACCTCTGAGCAACCTCACCAGTGCTCTGGGCACCAGGCAGATTGGTGCTTGCCCCATGGGCCTGAGTCAGCCAGTGAACTGCAGACAGGTTCAGATTGTGAGAACCTGTAACCTTGCTTCTCAGCGATTAGAGCAGTGAACCGCCAGAACCAGGCTCACATTTTGGGTCTTTCGACTTCTCAGGTGGGGTTAAGTGATTTTAGCTCCCCCCCCCCAGACCTACTTCCTTATCTTTAGGGAGTAGATAGGGTTATCTTCTCTTGGTTGATGAAGTGTGAACAGCATAAGCCAAGTGCTTAGCACCTGTGGGAGAGTGAAAAGTGCTTACCAATCTTATTCAGCTCAGTTGCAGCTAAAATTAGCTTGTCTTTTGCAATAGATAATATAAGTAAATAGTTGATGAGCAACCCAAACAATTGGTTTCGTGTGTGTGTGTGTGTGTGTGTGTGTGTGGTGCCCAGGTTCAACCCTAGTACCACCAAAAAGAGAAAGAAAAAAGAAAGTTGGCAAAAAAAAAAAGTTGTAAATTTATTCAACCTAGCTGGTTAGGCAGGAAATTGGAACTAATGGAAGAGTGTGCATGTCTCCCCTCCAAAAGTAAAATATTGTCCTGATAGGACTTAGAGCTGTTAGAACACTGCCTTTCTTACTAATGACTTGGGTTTATTAAGAAAAGCCTATAGCATAGTTTTAAGCATGGGCATTAGTAGTGCGAGAGAGAATTGCTCAGGGAAGGCTGGCACACACCCCAGTGTAGGTGTGGGTTTCTCAAGAGGCAGCTACCAATAATGCTGTTGCTTTTGTAAATAACCATTGTTTTATTATTTACATGTGTGTGTGTTACATGTAAATATACACGTGTTCACACCTGTGCATGCACATGTGGAATCCAAAGCATGATGCAAGTCAGGACCTCTCACAAAACTGAAAGTCCACTGTTTGGGCTATGCTGTCTAGCCAGGAAGCATTTAAGATCCAAGTTTCTCCATTCTCCAATGCTAGGGTTACATGTATATGAAATCACACGAAGCCTTTGCTTTTTTTTTGTTGTTGTTGTTGTTTTGTTTTTTGTTGTTTTTCTTTGTTGTTTTTTTTTTGAGACAGGGTCTGGGTCTCTCTGTGTATCCCTGGCTGTCCTGGAACCAGCTATGTAGACCAGGCTGGCCTCGAACTCACAGAGATCCGCCTGCCTCTGCCGCCAGAGTGCTGAGATTAAAGGTGTGTGCCACTGCTCCTTTAAATCTGGCATGCCCAGATTTTTATCTGAGTGCTGGAGATAAACTCAGGTCCTCATGCTTACAGAGTAGTCACTCTTCCACTTAGCCCATCTTCTCAGTCCCTCAATGTCTTTTTGTAAAGAAAGAAAGGTTTACAGTTGCTGAGAGTCTAAGTCAATGGTAGATCACTTGCTTGGTGTCCATGGAACCTTGAGTTCAATACCCAGCACACACAGACAAAAATTTTTTAAACTTAAGCAGGGATCAGCATCATGCTGAAATCCTCGTGCTAGGGGGTGGAGACAAGAGTCCCTGGCATTTTTTTTTTTAACTAGCCAAGTTAGAAGAGTCAGAAAGTGGCTGGAGAGGTGCCTCAGAAGTTACGAGATTGGCTGCTCTTCCAGAGGTCCTGAGTTCAGTTTCCAAACAATTACATGGTGATTCACAATCATTGGCAATGAGATCTGGTGCCCTTTTCTGGCACGCAGGCAGAACACTGTATACATAGTAAATAAATAAATGTCTAAAAACAATCAGAGCCTGGCGGTGGTGGCGCATGCCTTTAATCCCTACACTCGGGAGGCAGAAGCAGGTGGATCTCTGTGAGGAATGTTCAGGGCTACACAGAGAAACCTTGTCTCAAAAAAAGAGAAGAAATTTAATAAAATCATACTTTCATTTTTTTCAAGTATAAGTTTTGTTATTTTTAGAGTTGTAAACTAAAAAGCATGAATTTACAAGCTACAACAACAATAATAATAATAATAATTAAAGTTACAAAGTACACAATAAATTAGGGATGACATTTGAGCTTCAAAAATAACAGAATGTGAAACTTTTCAAAGTATAAGCACACCTCATACCTGTGCTTTTAGAAATGGCTGAATGAATCTGGCCTGTGGGCCATTGTATGTCAACCCTGCTCTAGGCAGTGGGGACCACCAGTGTCAGCACTGAATTGGAGCCTTGTGGGAGAGAAACCAGAGTTACAGGATGACAAGAAGTATTATAGTAGATCCATGACATCAAGCCTTGACCTGAACCAAGTCCCAGAACAAAGATGTTTGCCATCTCAGAAGGTTGTTAATACAATGGTGGTGCTCTCGATGTATTGAGCAGAGACCTGGAAGGAGCTTTGAAAGTCTTCCCCTGAGTCCCATCCTGGATTCAGTGATGTGGAAGAGGATATTAGATGGTTTGCCACCCACATCTGGGCTTTCTTCATTTCATTTTCACCCTTCTCACCATTTGGACCAATCAGAGAGTTGTATTTCAGAACCTTAGGTCATCATTGGGCAGGCAGAGCATGTTTGTCTATTTCATGTAAAAGACAAAACAAAACAGAAAAACCCCAACAACAACTATGTTCCAAGCTTGTGGGCCAGGTCTCTTTGTGCTATCATGAAGACAGACTAGGAGAAAGGAGGCGAGAAGGGCATTAATGGACACCCAAGGAGGAGCGTTGCTGTAGGGATTGCTATTGAAGGTTCGCTAGCTGTAGCTTGGCCTGGCATCCTACACTGGTTGCGTTTCACTTTCTCAAAGCTCCAGGTAGCTCCGGTTCTATCTAGTTGGAGAATTGTTAGGGTAAGGGCTTGTGCCGAGGAAGCATCAGTACCATCAGTGAGTGTGTTGGAAACAGGATCTTCCACACCACCAGGACCTGCTGGATCGGTGCCATCTTTTTAACAGGACCCTGGGGGAAGTTTTATTTTGAGACACGTGAGGCTTGAATTGCTGAGTAGACCTTTAGAACAAGGCTCCAGGCTCAAAGAAACTTCAGCTGCTCAGCGTCACCATCTACTCTGACAAGAACATAGAGAGTCCAGTCAAATAGGTACTCTCTGTAAGAAAATGGGTCCTCAGTAGTACCACTTTGGGGTATATATCCAAAAGATGCTCAATTGTGCCACAAGGACATGTGCTCAACTATGTTCATAGCAGCTTTGTTTGTCATAGCCAGAACCTGGAAACAACCTAAATGCCCCTCGACTGAAGGATGGATAAGGAAAATGTGGTACATTTACACAATGGAGTATTACACAGCAGAAAAAAATAATGACATCTTGAATTTTTCAGGCAAATGGATGGAGCTAGAAAACATCATTTTGAGTGAGGTAATCCAGACCCAGAAAGACAATTATCACATGTACTCACTCATAGGTGGTTTTTAAACATAAAGCAAAGAAAACCAGCCTACAGGTCCACAATCCCAGAGAACCTAGATAACAATGAGGACCCTAAGAAAGACTTACATAGATCTAATCTTCATGGGAAGTAGAAAAAAACAAAGATCTCCTGAGTAAATTTGGAGCATGGGAACCATGGGAGAGGGTTGAAGTGGGGAGGGGAGAGGCAGAGAGGGGAGCAGAGAAAAATGTAGAGCTCAATAAAAATCAATAAAATTAAAAAGAGAGAGAGAGAAAATGGATCCTCAGCTTGGGACAAGAAATCCTGAAGAGTGACATGACCAGACCAAAGCTGAAGGTCAACTGGAGTATGACCAGTCATCCTTCTCATAGATAAGTACCCTCCTAGGCTTCCTAGGCACGCCATCTAGATTTCCTGCCTTAGCCAGTCACATCCTGAATCATAAACCCTCAGATCTCTCACTTCCTTCATCCCACTCAGCTTTCAGATCAGATGACAAAAACCCAGCCTCCCTGCTCCACAGCCCCCGGTGCCCAGCTTGCACCCATGTTAGTTGGTCTAGGAAACTTTACTGGAAAAGCCTTCCCCTGCCTAGATCCACCTTAGCATTGACTTCTGTCTCTGAGTGGCAGGGTGAGTAGGACCACCCAGGTCCTGACATAATAACCCATCTCCACTACACGAACCCACTTTCTAGGCTTCGTAATCTCCCTTCTCCGCTAGTTTTAGGCCTAACCTTAGACCTGCTGCTTCAAGCAGGTCTCTGAGCTTTCATTATATTCTGCCCTCAACTTGATCAGCAATCCTTTTGAGGATAAATCTACCCGTGCTGCTTTGAATGAGAACGGCCCCCATAAGCTCATATATTTGAATATTTGGTTCATAGTTGGTAGACTGTTTAGGAAGGATTAGGAGGAGGTGTGGGCTTGTTGGAGGTGTGTCTGTGAGGGTGGGGTTGCAAAAGCCTACACCAGGCCAAGTCTGTCTTTGTTTCTCTCTTTCTGTCTCTCTCTGCCAAGTGCTTGTGGATAAGAGTGTCAGCTCTCAGCTACGGCTTCAGAGCCATGCCTTCTAGCCAGGGATCATAGACTCACTCTCTGAAACTGTAAGTCAGCCCCCAGTTAAATGTGTTCCTGTCTAAGTTGCCTTGGTAACGGTGTCTCTTCATAGCATAACTAAGAAGATAGGACAGTAACTAAGACGCAGCCTCATGTTGTCTTAACTTGAGTGAACCATGTTGGGATCCTGGTTGGTACGGCTAGACATGGTAACATCATGGAAGGGAGATATTACCCCAACTCTCAATGGTACCAATAGGGTAGACTTGCCAGAATACAGCCTTGGATTACAATTACCACACGTACCACAAGGAGCTGCCCCCTTCAAAGAGATGAATATGGGGTGTGGGGAAGGGCATTCCTAACGGCATTCCTAACTGTCAGCTGGCCACAGGAAAAGAAGGAAACACCCATCTAAGCAGAGCTGAGCAAAAGCCGAAGTTCCCTGGTGTGCATAGTACAGCAAGAGTCCCATAAAGATGAGGAGCAGGGTTCAGTGGCCCATGCATTTTCTCCTAGTTCTGAAACTGTGAGGCTACCAACAGCTCCTCTTTCTTCTGCACCCTCCTATGGGCGCGGGGGGGGGGGGGGGCTAGCTACCTGGTGGTAAATATGTTGATTAAGAAGAGGAAAGATTGGCACTTTCCTTGGTGCCTCGTTTTCACCTGGCTAAGGGTTCCTGACCTTGAGGGTGTAGCTGGGTGGGGATTGGGACGGAACCTATGGATGGTGCCAGCTCAGAGGTTCAGAAAAGTCAACATGCAGCTTTCCTAGAGCTGCTTAGTCTGGAAAGCAGATCCTCAAACCAAAAGAGTAAGGAAGCCTGCCACACACTAGAGATCTGTCAAAATCCCAGCCCCGGACCACAGGAAATTTGGCTGACACAAGGTAAGGTTACTGCAGAGGTCGTGGGGTATTGTGGGACACCGCTCAAAAGGGCCTGGGCGGAGCTTTGAAGAGTTCCTGTAGAGCATGCCAATGAAGGCTGTCTGGGTTTTAGACAACAGGGATTTTCTAGGCTGACCCTTGAGGTAGGGATGGAAGAGGGCAAATTGAGGAGGGTGGCCCATGAGACAGGGGTTCAAGGATTTGCTCTAAGCCTCTGATTAGAGAGAAAGAGACCAGGATTACTGCTCGTCTATTCCTCCCTGAGCTCTCTGTAGTGAGGCACGCAGCCGCAGCCGTAAACCAGAGCAACAGGTCCGTCTCCACTCTCCAGAGCTCAGAGCTGCTCTTCCGGTTGCTGCCAGGACAACTGACTTGGCAGCCCAGGTGTGGCTGAGTCAGCAGGCCCCGCGGTTCCAGTGGCCTGGATCTAGGGAACTGGGGTTGGCTGAGTGCCCAATCTGAGAGCCAGTTCCTTTGTGCGCCAGGCGGGCGCTGCCTCTCCCTCTCAGCCCGGTCAAGCCACCTGTTCGAGAAGGTATTGCAGCAAAGAACACAGACTTGAGTTAGACCCGCTGTTTCGGTTTGCCCAGGGCTGGCTTGGTTTTATCACTGTCCTTGGAAACCTCTGTGGTATAAAATGATAAGGTCTGAGGACTGAGAGCCTTGACGGGAGTGAGGAGTGGCCATGTGCAGAGCGAGCTAGCTATGGTGCCAAGATGAACCCTGGGGCTTCGTCATCCCTGCAAATGGGGCCAAAGTTGGTGTTTGTGTCTAGCTCCTCTGAAGGACCACATGGCCGGGCATTTCAGAAGCAATTAATTAGTGGCATCTCTGACCTAAATACCTCCGATTCTGGCTTGTTACTCATCTTCATCTATGAGGAAATACATCTAAGGAAAATATTGAAATTAAATAGTATAGACAGGATACAGGATCATACCTGTAACCTCAGCCTCAAGGGAAGCTAAGGTAGAAGGACTGTGAGTTTCATGCCAGCCTGGAGCAAATAGTGAGACTCTGCATAAATAAACAAACAAATAAATAGGGAGCACTGTATCGTGACTTAGACATCCCAGGCATGCTAGGGTCTCAGCGAATGTTTACTAAGCAGCACAGGAAGAGTCAGAGTAGTCTTTGCAGAGACAAGGAGCCAACAGGGAAGAATGAAATGGATGGGACTGAGAATTTTGAAAGGCATTAAATCAAAGCAAAAGGACCAGAATAGGCAGTAAGGAAATCTGATTTCCAACCATCCAATGGAATCATCCCGGCAAGTTACAACCACCTTTGCAACCTAGTATTGGTATCTTTCCCATCAAAGTTCTGTTGGTCTTTGGGGGTCTCCTTTCAACTGAACTGGTCACTGGTCCAGAGCTCAAATTTCCCTAGTACATTCTTTCTGACTCCTCCAAAAGGCTGGCCACTGGGCTGGGCAGTAGCATGGGTGTGGGGGAAATATGGCCTGCACATGTACATGTGTATGTATACACACAATCTTTTCCCTAACCCTCTGTCTGTGCCGAAGGCTAAATGTCAAGGGCAAAGCTTCCTGGAGGCCACAGAATGACCTTAAAGCTATAAATCAGGCTCTGTAGAGCAGCCAGAAGGATGCCATACCCTAGAAGGCGTGGGCTCACCCTGTGGCTCCTCCTTGCGTCCTTTGCACCTGCTCCCTCGCTCACCTGCAGGCTCTGGGCTTGTCTCCAGACATGAATGCTGAATGCCCCTGGCATGTGTGTGCTCCACTTGGCGCTCAGCCCCTCCTGTGCTGGCAGCTGACTCCTATGACTCACCCTCAACTCCACCCTCTCCTGCCCTCCTGACTTTGATGCCTACCAACTCATTAAAATTTATATGCAACACTTCCTCTGTGCAGGTAATGAGCCAGGTGCCGGGGTTCTATTGGTAAACAAGACAAGGGCCTATGACACTCATTATGGGGGAAGAGGAGACAATCACCAGTCAATTATATACAACCTGATAAGTGCCTGGGTGGCATAAGTGACTGTAAGGTTGGGTAGAGATTTGAGACTGCAGATTAGCAGGGAGGATACAGCCCTGCCTCTCAGTTGTAGGTTGTGCTGTGAATGACGGCCACCATCTCTTTTTCCACATATCTCTATCATCCATCCACCTATCTATCCATTTTCTCCTCCAACAAACCATTGAAGCCCCTGTTGTATGCCAGGCATACTGTCCAGTTCTGGAATTATCATACAAAGGATAGGCTCCTCTGATCAAACTTTTGACTTCCCAGATGTGCCCTGTTTCTTCCTATTTGACAACATCTGTACTCACTGTTTCTTTTGTTCAGAAGATCTTAGCTCCGCCCACCTAGGTCAGATGATCTCCCCCATCATTTGACCCTCCTCAAAGGTCATCTCTTTAGAGTTGGCTTCCCTGGCCTCCTCAGCAATGTGGGGCCCCATTGTGATGCTCTCACAGCACCCTGTAATTTTCCTTCATAGCATCTTTGATTATGTATTTATTAGAGGAACTGTTTTATTAGTGTTTATCATGTCTGCCAGGGATTCATTTATTATAGTAGTTATGCTGTCTGGCACAATAACATAAGTTGAAATGGTAGATGAATGGGTGGATAGTGTTGCTGGGTGGGTGGATGGGTAACTGGTTGGCTGGCTGAGTAGAAAGATAGTTGGTTATGTGTAGATGCATGGATGGATGACCGGATGGGTGGAGAGATGATGGGTGTCTGAATGTATGGACGAGAACTGAGGCAGAATGAAGGCCAGTTAATAGACTGATCTAGAATCAAGGCAGAGTTAGTTAAGGATTGGTGAACAGGCCACAGTAAGAAAGAAGGAGGGAAAGCCAAGGAAGGGTCAGCTGGAGACAGTCTGCCTGATTTGGAAAGTGGTTGCATGATATGAGCGGCCTCAGGAATGAAGCTGAGTAAAGAAAGAGTGACAGGTAATAATCAGGGTTCTGGCTGTGGCGAGGAGATTGACCATAAGAGAGAATAATCTGAAGGTACAGAATAAAAAAGATTCCTCCGTGACCTTGAAGTCTCTGTTGGAGCAAAGAAGTGGGAATTCAAATTGCTTTTGGTTTGACTTTCTTTTGTTTCTGTGGTCCCCATGATGGTCTAACTGTCAGTGTGTGGGGTGAGCACATATTCTGATGTGATGGCTTCACGGTCCCTGACTCCTCCATATGTTATTACCGTAGCACTGTAGCCCCCAAATGCATCTAGCATCTAATCCCTCCCCTGAACTGATGTGCCAGAGCCGTAAGGCTAAACATTTCCGAGGCTTGGGCGTCTGCTTCTCCTGGGTCGTTGAGTTGCTTTGCCTTCTGACTTTGGTTTGGAAACTCACGGCATGAAGAATCAGCTGGCTCTGAGAATGCCGTCAGCCGAGGGAGGCAGCAGCAGTGCCCTCCACAGCCAGCAGAGGCGGAAGTGGTAACTGCATGGGCTGCAGCATGTCATGTCAGGGGTGCTAGTACCCCAGGATTCTCCATTTTTGTCTACCGGTCCCAGTTCCGTGGAGTGGTCTTAGACACTGCACTTTGCTGTTCTTGATTGCATCTCATGATTGTCTCTCAGGTTCTGTGAACTACTTAATATCTTAATATCTACTTTTACAACAGTCTTCTTTTTCTTGTTCAAGCTCATCAGGTCTCTCTACTGCTTTTAACCAGGCACTTGGTCCCATATAGACCTTCAAGTATAGGTCACACTTGGATTGACAGGAGCAGGGTTTAGGAGATCTAGGCCACAGCGATCATGGAGGAGACTGACACTAAGGGAGTAGATAAGATTTTTTTTTTTTGCAAGTTTTTAATCATGCAAAGCAGAAGGCAAGGTGGATAGGGAGGAACTATCTACGTGGAACAGGTGTGAAATATGCAGACCTCTAGTTTCCAGCCAGTGATGGCCCTGTATGAACTTTGATGTTTGGGAAACCAACTCCTAGTCCAACAAAGGAAGCCTCTTGCTTCTCCAGGTCACATTCTTCTTGGGCTGCTATCCTGTTGCTCCTTCAATGAACTGGCCTTGTGTTTTTAAGGAGGCTGCAGATGGAATCTGACATGTTGATGATAACCACAACACCTACCTGTTGAGAAGAGTCATGCCAATCAGTGACACCGTCCTTACGAATCAATGCCCTGGCCGATGCCAACAGCCTTTCATGATTGCAACAGGTATTTCTATCCCACAACTGCTTTTTTCTCAGTGAACCTAGAATCCTTCTCAGCCCAGTTTGTAAACAGTTCTGATAACTTCATGACAATTAACTCATGAGATGTTGCCATGGTCTTAATAGATCATGAGTTAGCTCCTGAAGTATATCCTACTTACTAGCCTGGGACCTCCTATGTCAATTAGCAATCAAGAAAATGCCCCATGAATGTCCCTACAGGTCAATCTGATGGATACAATTCTTCAACTAAAGTTTCTTCTTCCCCAGTGTGTCAGATTGACAACAGAGATTAATTATGACAATTTAGAATTCTCCTACCATGGCTTACTTGGCCACTAGGATTCCAGGTCAAGCTTAACCAAAATTTCAGTATGTTGCCTTTGCTTTTCCTGCTAGTTTTATGAAAAATAGTATTCTTAGGAGCCTGGGTTTGAGATCCCTAAAGCTGGCCAAACCTGGACATTCTCAGTCCCTTCTATAAAATTGCGTTGTGTTTGCATTTGGCCTATGCATATCCCCCTCTATCCTGGAACTTATCTCTAGATTACTTGTAATACCAGATATGATGTAAATGCTTTGTAAATAGCTGCTATGTTGTAATTTAGAGAAGAATGGCAAGGTAAGAAACCTGTACGTGTTTAGTTAGTACTTTTATTTATTTTAGTTACTTGGGATAGAACCTTGCTATGTAGCCAAATACCAAAGAGAGCACACTTAGAGCAAAGATGGAAGAAAGGAAATGCACACTTTTCTGAAAAGTGGACACACTTATGAAGCTTCTTGACTGTGGCCCTGTAAGCTATTGCGATAGCCAGGGAGTTTTGGAGACAGAAAAAGCTTCGGCAATTCACAATGTTCAAAACACAGCAACTATAAACAAGCTCGGTGTGGTGGTGCATGCTTTTAATTCCAGCGCTTGGGAGGGAGGCAGAGGCAGACAGATCTCCGTGAGTTCCAGGCCAGCCTGGTCTATGTACTAATTCCAGGCCAGATAGACCTATGTAGTAAGAGCCTATCTTAAAAAAAAGAAAAGCGTGTTCTGGTCTACTAGGGACCAGTAGAATGGAGGACATAATAGATTGGTAGATTTACCTTCTCTTTATTCTAAGAGGTAATAATTACGAATGGTATTTTCCAGGTTCCTGTGTGCCTAGAGAAGACATGACTTACTTTCCACAAATCTTGTGTGTGTGTTTTATTTATTTTGCACATAATAATGAATTTGGGAGAGAGAGAGAGAGAGTTGGTAGTGCTGCACAGAACTGGAAGTTACTTCTGGATTCTTGATTTGGGAGATGTCTTCCTGGAGGTGACAGGAGTAGCTTCTTCCTGCTTCTGGAGCTTCCTGCAGCAGTGAAGCAGGAGGGGACTTGAATGCCTAGGTCTCTGTTGTGGTTTGGAGAGATCTTCTGGAAGGCTCCTCAGGTGTTGATTTCCTTTGTGCCTCCAGCAGTTCTGTGAGCCATCCTTAACCCTTAATAGATACTTCTCTGTTTACACTAGCTGGGGTGGATCCTGTGGTCTGCAGTTGAGAAATCTGACTAATACTCTAGGCTCTTCCGGGTTACTCACAGGGTGGTGGAAGTTGGCTTGCTGCCCTCTACTGGGGTTGGGGGACAGACCACGATTCTGATGCTAAGCACTACTCAGTCTTTGGACACAGGCAGAAGTCCAGGTGCTGGGAGCTAACTAGATCTTACGGGTGGATCGTAACTGTTCCTAATAACCTTGGAAGAAAGGAAAATGGAGGGCAGACCTGTCCACTTTGCTCCTGGGAAGTTGAGAGCTGCATTTGAACACCTCTCTTAGCACTGTTCACCCAATGGCTGTTGTCTCTGATGTCAAGTTCTTTGGTTGGGTACAGTTGAGTATAATGTACGTGTGTGTGTGTGTGTGTGTGTGTGTGTGTTAATGTTAACACTTGGGGAATGTTATAACTTAAACCTCGAGTCTCACCCCTTGTACTTATTAGTCATATTTCTTGTTTTCTACAGTCGGATAATTAGATGTTCTGAAGCTTTGCTGGACTTGGCGGGACTGCCCTCGGTTATATAAGTACAACCTAACTGATCCAGAACCTAGAACTTCAACCCTCTCCTTTCCTGGCCTCTTCACTGCCATACCTACTCCAAGACCAGGTGCTTCACATAGGAGCCAATACAGGAGCAGGAAAATCAGAACTGTAATTGAAGAATTTCTGTGGACTCTGAGTAGATGGGTCTAATGGCTAACAGGGTTGGAGTCAATCACAGGGAATACCCATACTCCTGGATATTTACTCAACTTGATTAAAAATGTCAACACAAAACTCTTCGCATTTGGCCTGGGGTGTAGTAGGGTGATTGCCCACCATTTGCGAGGGAGTGGCTTTGATATCCAGCACCATGAAAACGAAAGCAAAACCCCCCAAGCAATAACAAAACAAACCACAAAAACTGGCTCACGAGTATCTGCAGCTTTATTCATATTGCCAACAACCAAGATATGTTTTGATAGAAGTGATGGCTCACTGTCATTGTCTACAGTAGCACTAAGAATCATCTAGGAGACACACCCCTGAGAATTTCAATGGAGGTGCGTCCAGAAAGCTTTAACTAAGGAGGGAACACCCACTCTGAATATGGGCAGCACCGGGGGGGGGGGGGGGGCCACACCACCAGGTTTCTCTCTGTAGCTTTGTAGTCTGTCCTGAAACTTGCTCTGTAGATCAGGCTGGCCTCGAACTCACTGAGATCTGCCTGCCTCTGCCTTCCAAGTGCTGGGATTAAAGGCATGCACCGCCACTGCCCAGGTGGGCAGCTCCTAATTCATATGCTCATCCCCAGACTGAATTAAGGGGAGGAAACCCCAGGAGAGCTTCATTTACATTTTCTCCCTTCCAGACTGCAGGCACAATCACCGACTGTCTCCTACTCCTGCCATCAGGGGTAAGAGGTGGAAAAGCCAAAGGAAATCCATCTCTCTTTCAGAGAGCCAAAATAAAGCCCTCTATAAATTGCTTTTGTGAGGTATTTTGTCCCAGCACAAGAATAAGTAAGGTGAGTAGGTAAATGTAATAGTAAATGGATAGGCAATGTAACTATCGCACATCTAGGTAAATTGGCACTTTAGCAATTAAAAAAGAGATCTGCGAGCTGATGAAAAGATGAGGCACCTTAACTCTAAGTGAAAGAGTTGAAAGACTCCCCTATGCATAGTGCCCAGACTATGATTTCAGCTGTATGATGCCTTAAGAAGGGAAACCATGCATCAGTGGCTGCGGATGGATTAGGGTTATAAAGTCTGGATAGAGAAAGATAAGAGAATGAAGCCCAGAGGGATGTCAGAGCCGTGAAAATGCTCTGATGCCATCATGGTCTAGGTACACGCCATTGCACATTTGTCCAGACCCACCAAGTGCCCGGTGCCCACACGGAACTTGGTGTGGACTGCGGACTTCGGGTGAGGGTGACGTTTCCATGCCGATTTATCAGTTCTCACAAGTGGAGCACTCGGTGCTGGGTGCTGATAGTGGGGTTTGGGATGCATGTTTGTGGGGGACCGAGATTAAACTGGAAAGATCTGCATCTCCTGCTCAGTGAACCCACAACTACTCTGAAGAATGAAGTCTATTTTTAAAGGAAATGGCTACTTCTCCTCAAGGTCACTTCTTGTTTTGGGGGGCTTGTCTCCTGCGAGGAAAATGCTTGATCACTGCTACACCCCATCTCTTCCTTCCTTGGTACCAAATTGTCCCATCCTCAAAGAGTAAATAACTAGCTTTTCTATTGCAAAACAAAGGGAACTGGTTGTTTTTAAAAATAATTTTTTTGGGGGTAAAGTTTATACCCATTTTAAATGTAGCATCTGATGTGGTTTTTTTTTTTTTTTGTTGTTGTTGTTTTTGTTTGTTTTCAGTTTGAAGAGGTTTTGCAGTTCAAAACCTGCCCTGTAACCACAGCCAACATATTGAAGATGAAAAATATTCCTACCTCCTGAACACACCCCTCCTACTCTGTGCAGCATTCTTCAGACACTGGCACTGGGAACCACTGATTCCTTTATTCTGCCCTTCCAAGACTGACTTTGCCTGTTCAAGAATTTCACATACACAGGTTATGAGGTATGGACTGTGTTTGTGGCTGGCTTCTTTTATGTGGTGTAATGTTTTATAGTTTCCTGCGCTGTCTCCTATCTTAACAATTCCTTCCTTTCATTAGAGATTAGGGTTCCGCTTGTGGTTTTGGGGTGTTTATCCACTCCCCTCTGACCAGACATTTGGGTTCCTTTCAACTTTGAGTGATTGTGAATGAGCCTGCTATGAAATGTGAGTGCACCTCCTTAGGGACACTATCTGCATTTACCCTGACTGCGGTGCCGATACTGGAACTGTGAAGGGTATGGGGATTTTTATGTTTATGCGTATGCATTCCACTTTCTGCCAGTTCAGGTGAGAGTTCCAGTTGCTCTGCCTGCTTTGCACTTGGTGTCAGGTGATTTAAGTTCTGCCCCTGTGGAAGGTCCAGGGAGTTAGTCTCTGGGTGTGCTTTTAATCCATGTTTCCTTGCAGGTTCATGACGGTGAGCTTTGCTAACTGACTTATTTGATGATAAGATTTAAAATGGTGTTTAAATCCTCCACCTAGTTATAAAAGTTGGGTTTATATCACTCCTGAATTTTAAGAGTTCATAATATATTTGTGAACTGACTTTTTTTTTTTTGTAAAGTGAACACATTCCTCCTTCTACGAACTCCAAGACGCTTGTAAGATAACAATTGAGAATTTCGATATTTGTTCTCCAGAAACAAAGAAGAATTCTGGATAGGGATATTTCTACACTCTCTAGGGCCCTCCCGTAGTCCTGGAAATAGCACCTCTGTGTCTCCAGCCTCCAGGTCCGTGTCCAGCTCTTTGATGACCTTTTGACGTCAACTCTTGACCTTTGTTTTGTCTTTCAGTTCTGGGAAACCTACCTGGGACCTTTCAACCCATTACTCACTGTCTGAGACTGAGAGCTGGGAGGACCAAGAAGATGCCAGATAGATTTTGTACTTTCGTTTTGATATGCTAAGTTGATGGCTACTCTTTACAGAGTTTTTATTTTTTAGACCGGGTCTCACGTAGCCCAGGTTGGTCTCCAAGGTGATAGGCAGCGAAGAATGACCTAGTTTTTGTGAAGCTGGAATCTGACTCAGGACTTTGCTAGGGAAGCACGCTAAGAAATGAGCTAGGTCCCTGGCCCCACTTTATAAAGAAACGTGGGGGCTAATGAAGCACATTTCAGAAGATGACTGGAGGAAACAAAACTTTCTTTTTATCTTTTTGTGAGGGTGTCATGGCTCAGGACCTCATGCAGATTAGGCAGATGCTAGCGATCTATGCCCTAGACTCTGTTAACTTTGAAGCTATGAGAAAAGCCTGTACCTTCTGAACTCATTCATCCTTCAGTGTGTCAAGAAAGGGAGCTGGCAGACACACTGTTGATGATAACAGACTAGAAGAAACTTATTGCGTCTCATTAAAAGGTTCTCTTCAAAGATTGAAGGTTAAAATTTACTTTAGCTGGACCCAAGCCTCACAGGCTCTAAATGAGAGCAATGAGCTATGGGAAGTATTAGTAAGTCAAAGAGTTGATACAACATGGTTGAGCTTTTAATGGGACTCACCTTTGGTGATGTGTGAACAAGACCCCCCAAGGTCATTGTAACCCATATGTTTTAAGAGGATTTATCTTAACTGGGAGATTCTTAACTTTCAAATATGGTCAATTAAACAAATTTAATAGTTTTGAATTATATTCTTTTCATTCCATGGGGATTATACTCTACTGAGTTTCATTTTGAGCCACTTGGGAGTCATTTTTTTTTTTTGCTCTGTGTTATGCAAAATGCATTAGTGCATCAAATTAGGAAGGCCTGGCTTTTTTGCTACAGGAACAGCCACCTCTGGCTTTCTTGGGACATGACTGAGTAGGGAGCAATTAACTCCAACTAAGTGGAGCAGGTCAGAAGCACAGAGAGGCTGCAATTAGACAGACTCAGTGGACACCTGGCTTGGAAACCTGTTTCCAAGTGTGTATCTATGGGGAGCTCCAGATGAATGGAATGACAGGGACAGACTTCATACAGCCTCATACGTGTGATAACAGGGCTTTCTCAATATTTCTGATTAATCTACCCATGTCACACCGATATCCTGACTTCCAGAGCAGAGATGGAATGTACTGGCAAAGAATGTGGTCAAACATAAAACACGATAGAATATGATATTTCAGCATACAGCGGCATGGTGATGTTACCTACAGTGTAAATGATCCAATTTGGTTGAGAGAGAGGAAGGGAGGGAGGGAGGGAGGGAGAGAGAAATAGAGAGACACCATGCATGCATGCAGATGATTCTCCCTTTCCACCATATAGGTCCCCAGGATCGAACTGAAGTCATCAGACCTTTTCATCTGTCGTCAGTCACCTAACAACTTTATCCACTGGGTCAACTCACTGGTTGCCAATTTCTGTTTTACCTTTGGTCATAATGAAGACTGAAAGTAGAGATAAGCTCTGGACATCATCTTCTGCCAAGGAGAGCCTCTAAGAAACAGCATGAATGCTGTATCAATGACACACACAGGAATGGGAAGGTCAGGGCAGAGAACCAAAGGGTCTCTGTAACCTACGAACCAAGAGTCAGGCAGCCATGTTACTGAGGTTCTTGCCTGTCCCTTGTCCTGGAGCAGAGGGTGGAGAAAAAGCCTGCAGATTGGAGTCAGAGAACCATGATCCCAGGAAAGGAGCACAGGGGAGGAGGAGCACTGTGGCCGGATGCTCTGAAAGACAAATGGCCATGGTGCTAGAACTTCCTGGCGCCTCCTGCCCCATGCTCCCGCATTAGCTCACCAGGCAGCCTGTTTGAGCAGTGTTAGTTTTTCTAACTTTGTTTTCATTACCTCTGCTTACTGAGTAGGAGGAGATTTTCCTGGATTGCCAGGCAGTCCAAGAACTTAGTTGTAAAGAGTTAGGAAGCGAGGGTGTGGAGTGGGAGGAGGGATGAAGAAAAGCCACCTGGCTTGCTGGAGGCATTCGTCATCCATGTTTGACACTCATCCCAGGCCTAGAGGAAATCTCTGTAAACAGTCTGACATGTCTATATTTTGAAGCATCTGGAACCTGCCTTACCTGTAAGATCGCCTCATCTTGCTAATGACCATAATTGCTGGGTCCTTTGCCAGCCATGACCTAGCCTTGGTAATGGTGCTAAAAGTAGGCCTGGAGCCAGGCAGTCTGCAGGGCTTAGGGAGCCCTCCCAGGTACAGAGGACACCAGGCAGATGGAAGGATGGCAGACCAGTCCAAGGTTAGAGGTGTTGTTCTTTCAGTGCCTTTGATTTGGGTCAAACAGAAACACTGCCCATACTGAAGAAGTCTGGTTTGGGGGACTGCCTGGTACACATTATTGTTTAGCCATGCCCCCCCCAAAGGCCATATCCTTACATTATTACAGGACAAAAAGCTTGTGAAATATAGGAGGAAAACCCAACCAAACAAAACCATGCTGACTGAGACTATAACTCAGTTGGTAGGAAACTTCTATCATGTTCAGAGCCCCAGGTCTGATTCCCAGGTCCTCATAAAATAGGTGGTACATTCCTATAATTCTAGAACTCAGGAAGTGGAGGTGATGGGAGGTCATTCTCAGCTATGCAGCAAGTTTGAGGCCACCCTGGCCTACAGGAGACCCTGTCTCAAAAAAGCCCATAAGAAGATGCATCATTTCTAGGACATGGATCTTTGCGTACCAGTGGCAGGGGTGACACAGTAAAGTGCACACTTGACAACTGCAAAACCATATGGACGAACAGTAATTTATAACAAATTTACAAAGGAATAAAAACATTTAAATGATCAAAACTGCTCTTGTACTGGTTATTGTTATGGTTTAAGTAAAATGCTGCAGGTTCCCAAGTGGCTGCAGTGGGGCAGCAGGTCATGAGACCATGGCAACCATGAGGGGCCATGAAGGCAGCTGGCCCCAGACAGGTCCCCTTTCCCCCATTACAGTGGCCTATGGGTCCTAGGCAGGGAGCCCCTTGGTGGGTGAGAGACCGCAATGAATAGGCACACCATGCAGAGTGAGGTTGGATATTTATTTAGTGGGCTATGGAGGGGAAAGGGAAAGAGGGGAAGGGGAGAAGGGAGAAGAGCAGAGAGAGAGGCAGAGTAAGAGAAACAATGAGAAAGATGGGGGAAGGGGAGAAGTGGGGAGAAGGGAGAGAGGCAGAAGCTGCCTCTTTGGGAGAGATGAAAAGGAAGGAGCTTAGACTGCCAGCAGAAGGAAGATCTGCCTGTCTCAGTGGACTGGGGATAAGGGTGGGTGGGGGGAGTGGGGAGGTAGGTGGGGTTTGTCTCTTAAAGGGACAGGACAGACCATTACAGTTGCCATCCCACTGGAAGCAGGAAGATCAGGAGTCCAAGGACATTCTTAACTACCAGTTGAGCTTGAACCTAGCCAGTTCAAGGCTAGGCTGAGCTATAGAAGCTGTTTCTAGAGACCAAAACCCAAGCAGACAAAAAGTACACTTGAGAGTAGCTGTCGCTGGACAATGCCCAACTTCACATCTTCAAAGATCACCAGTCCTAAAAATGTCAAGGTTGCCCAGTTAGCACAATGTTGTGGGTGAAACTCAGCCCTGGAAACATCCCAGCAGAGGGTAGGTTGGTTGCCATAGAGACCCCATGGGTAGTCCTGGCTCCAGATTTGGTATGGTATTGTATATTTGGGGTCCCACTCAGGACAAACAGCAATTGAACTAGGGCCTATGTGCTATTACCTACGGAGAATGAATGGGAGCAAAGAGAAGGAAGTAAAAAAGGCTAAGGATGGGGCAGGAAGAGGAACTGGAAAAGCCAGAAACCCCGGGGCACTCTCAACAGTCGGGCTAGTAAAGAGCCAGGAAGAAGAGGGAGGACAGCCCTCAATGATGGAGACATAAGGAGAGAGGGGCAGTCAATGTTGGGGGACAGAACTCCACAGCTCCTGTCCTAAGCTTGGGACTGATTTGCTCTACTGTGTCCCATCTCTGTCCTGAGGCCGGTTGGGTGGAGCGCAGAAAGTGGAACAACCCGCTGCAGGCAGACGGTCGGCTTCACTTCCGGGGTCATGCTGCGTCTCTCCGGGTCAAACAGGCAGCTGGCTTCTCAGAACTCCAGCACTGCCTCCCTGGCCCTCTTCCCCCAGTTCTGAGTCACCCTCAGGTGCGGTCTGACACCCTGAGGGTGTGGGCTCACAAGTAAATCCTTGAAACACCTGGCATCTGCACTTCCGGGGGGGGGGGCGCGTAAAAAAGCCGTGCAAGTCCAAAGATCTGAATTCTCCTCCCAAGACCTCACGTCAAGGGGAAGAAGAGAGCTAACTCCCACCGTTTACACCTCTGTGTGTGCACTGCAGTGCTCAGATGCTTGCAGTGTGGGCACACAAATACGCTCCCAATGAGTAGCACGTTTTCTTTTGAACTCATCACAGTTATGCTCAGCATACAAAACACTGTAAATATACTTATTGTAAATCTTACTATAAAGTGCATATTTATTGGAAATTACATCTCTGTGTGAGATAGGTGGAACAGTAAAAGTTAATAATGTGTCCACAGGTGAAGTTTTCTTGCTGGGGTTCAGCATCAACTCTTTTTATTTTTTATGATAAGCAGTGAGGAAAACATTTTTTCAAACTGTATAAAGGAAACAGGAATGGAAGTTTTGTTATATAAATGACATTCAGCTGATGATGTGCCCAAACCAAAACACAGCCTGAAAACCCCACACAGTGACAGAATTCTTTTGATGATTACCACCTGATAACTTGACTGGCTCCTAGAGATGTTCCATGTGTCTGCTCTAATACTGAGCTTTCCTTACGCAGGCACTCAGAGAGTTTCTTCCCACCAAGGGAAGGCAGCGAGCTGCAGGGATGTGGAGTCAGACATGGAAGAGAAAAGGACCCTCTGAGCTCTTCTCACCCTGGCTCATCCACAGGCATTTAGGAAAGACAAGGCATGGTGGTTATGTGGGGCCCTCTAGGGTTCAGTGGGGGTCTCTTCGGAAAGTCTTAGTACTCTTACAAAGGTAGGTTACATCTGCACCTGGCTTTTAGTCCAACCTCCTTGGCCCCTTCTTCATAATATGGTGTCCATTTCTAGAAGCTTGGAGATACAATCTGGGATTTGGTCGGGACTATCCAATGTCATTTAGCCACATATCTACTACCGCCCACCCTCAGGGACTGAATTCAACATCTTCCAAGACGTCAGGGCCATAAATGTTTTCATGACTCCCTACGTCCAGCCAAAATCTCTTCCATGCTCCTGCCCTAGTTCACTGAACACATCTCAACTTCTTCAGGATCCTCCGCGTGGACTTGGCATCTGGCATGCCTTTCTTGGGTTTCTTACCTGAGCCACTGTCTTTCCCCTAGTTACTCCCGAATTTCCCATTCTCACGTCATTGATTCTTTTCGCCTTCATTTCCCATTCTCCTTTCCGCTTTTCATTCCTTCTTGCTCCCATCCTCTCTCCCTATCTGCCTTTCTCTCTTTTTCCTTCTTCTTCCTCTTCTTTCCATCTTTTTTTAAAATTTCCAATAGAAAAGGAGGGAGTTTCTTAAACAACAACACCCAACTAAACAAAGAAACCAAACGAGTTTGGAAATATGCCGCAGGTGAACCGACCGAGGTTAGACCGTTCTTTTCTATAGTACAGTGCCTTGCCTCAAGCCCTGCGGTCCATAAGCTGAGGTTCAA